AACAAAGAAGACCTAAAAATTCTAAACAACCCAATATCAATCAATGAAATTGAAAACGCAATTAAAAACTTACCAACTAAGAAAAGCCTGAGTCCTGATGGCTTCACTGCTGAATTCTACAAGACATTTAGAGAGGAACTACTGCTGCCATTTAAATTCTTCAATGCAATTCAATGAAATTTTCCCCTTTTTTGTAGAACATGGGTGCTTGATACACAAAGACCCTCAAGTACACCGACAGCTAGATTGCAAAAACAGAATTCTCATCATATAGAGGCTGTTTAGCTACCAAGAAGCTGTGTAATATTGCATAGCTTGGCTAATGCAAATCAAAAAATTCTTTTTTTGTGAATTGTAGTGCAATTTCTGTGAATGATGTGTTTCTTCAAAGTCCTATGAACCATACTCCGGGGATTTTTAAGAAGCTGTACTAAGTATTGAAAGACCATGTATCTTCCTCATCTACAGCTTTGAACTTTCCAACTTTCCTTTATAGAATACAAAATGATTACCTTAAAATATTAAAATAAGAAAGCAAAGTGCCAAATAATCACTCTTTGTATTCAATTTGTGTCATGTGGTCCAGGCACGGTCACACCGTCTGCCATTTGAAGAAGGAGCGGGACGCACTGCACAGCTGGAAATCAGTAACATCTGTTGCCTTTGAGTTTGTCTGAACAGCTGGACCTCAGCTACCAGCCACCCCTGTTAGTGCTTATTTGAACACCCAGAGCAGAGCCGCCCAAGGAGAATCTGAGGTTCAAGAACCACAGGTGTCATCAAACCCCTGCCTTATTAGCATTATAAAGAGTGATGCAGTTTATAAATGCTTAAATCTAGACAGTATATCATGCATGTCTCGAGGAAATGTAAAGTGAGTACTTACAAACTTCACATCTGGTTTGGGAGCAGGACAGTACCACCAAGGTACCCGGTGGCTCTGCTGGCCTGCTTCCCCTCCTGCAAGTGACCAGGTTCAAGGGTTCAGTCAAGTGGGCCTGTGCTTTCATGGCTTTGCCACACTGTAGCTCTGAATAACACTGTTTTGATTGCTTTTTAGCTACATGTAAGAGGTGTGTGTATTTGCATACACATCCATTCTATTCAATGACTTCATTTTTTATCCTTAACATTATATTTGAGATTCATTTCTGTTGGTGCTTATAAATTCCTGAACAATGTTCCATTATACGGAAACACTTTATTTTATCCATTCTGTGGGTAGACTTTTGGGTTGTTTTTGGCTTTTTTCCTTCCAGGTATGAATGATGTCCCCGTGAGCACTGCTGGGGACAGAGACGCAGAGACAGCTCTGCAGGCGGGATGTAAGTTGAGGTGACTGCGTGCCTCACATATATTAGGTAGCAAGTTGTTTCCTTTATGGTTGTACTGACCCCTACTGTAATTTCAAGAGCATCCTTATTGTTCCATTCTC